TTTTTTATTATCAGTCCTCAATTTTGTTTTGATATCCCTTCAGTATGGATTTCACCCATTTTCCTCCCATCAATCATCAGTCATCAAAAGAAAATAAAGTAAATTGATTCGAGCACTTATTTGAATGTTGCGTGTCGGTCAGGCATAACCAACTCTAACGATTCTTATATGAAACGATCGATTGACCGTTTCAAGTTATTGTTTATTTATCTAATGTTCTATGGTATAAAACTTAATTTATTAAAAACAAATGAAAATGTGTAAATGATAGCAGAACAGATTAAAAATACCACTCCAAAGAAACGGTCAAATTGAAATTATCAGGACACAATTTGCTAAACATAAGGTACACTTCGCATACAGACACCACAAACAGGATCGGATCATAGAAGAGGGAAATAAATGGAAAGTATGACTGGTGGAAACAGGTAGTATGGTCAAATAGGAGAAAATCGAGGTTACTACAGCTCTTCTCAAAGGAGGTTTGGAGCATAGTTAGCAGATAAAAGTGTTTAAACAAGTGATAATTCTAGTCGAAGTGACTTTCCAGTTAAATTAAGTGGAAAAAAAAAACCTCTGGAACGCGTTAATCAAAAGAATCAGGTAACATACCTAACCCAACTGCTCAGTAGTTTCCCTATAATAAGACCTCCCATTGTTTAAACCCAAGGACCCATTGTCCTTAGTTTAAGTCTCCGCTGTCCAGCGTCGAGCCACCGAATACCGTCGGAGCGGTCAACCCCCCAATTTCCACAGGTCTTGCCTTGACCCTTGGACTCCTTAAATTTGGCCTCATACAACAAACAACTAGCATTATAAAGCGGCCCATTTTCTACACACGACTGTGCATAATGTGCAATATGGTGCATTTAGATGATCAGAAGCACTCTTTGAAAATAAAATGAAAGTCTCGAATAGCATTATTCAGATCATTTACCCAATCTATGTGAAAGACAAACGTAACTAATTAGCAGCAGCGATGAAACCAGTTGTCCTAATTTGGAGTCTTGCTGAAGGACTATCGAAAATGAACGGAAATGCACGCATGAGTAACCAATTCTGAGATGCAGTTTGCCTCAAAGCATTTGTTTTCGAATTCGAAACTCGATTAGAGAAGATCAAAGAGGGTTTGGCAGAGTCTTCACACTCTCTGTAATTCAATGTATTGATAAGATGGTTGATTCCTTGTTCTGTAATTATTCAGGACTGTACTGCATGCTTCAAAATCAGTTTGATAGTCATTGGAAAAATACCTTCCAATACATCATGCATTGGATCGAAACAAACAGTATTAGCCCATCTTAAGAATCGCATTTCATGTAACGCACAACCTGATCGTATCCCGCATTCCTTTGGGGTTTTCTGCTGGTTTAATACGGAATCATCGTCCTTTTGCACGATTTCAGATCTCGTCTCGAAATGCAACACGATCTACAGAAAAGGTTGGCTGAAGGTCCAAGCGGCCCATAAATCTCGTGGATAGCTAAAGTATGACCCAAAATATTTACAAGAACGTGTTTGTCCAGTTTTCAAACGTTATTCCTGTAACTATTCCCTGCGGTGACTCAAGTGCAAGAAGATCTTTAAGCATGTCTTTTAGTACTGTTGCATAGCCGTACTATCTATTGATAAATTTACTCGCGAGTCAAAATTTTGAACCTTAAAATAAAAAAAAAAAAACTGTCAACTTGTTTTTCCCTTTACGCGATCCAAGTGGGTTCACATATTCGACGTCGTCGACGTGTAAAGAAAGTCTCAATGGATAAGGATGGCTTTGCAGGAAGGGATGTTGTAAAAATTGCTTGCTGTCTTTGAAGGATACTATTGAGCCATCCATTTTTGGTTCCTCAGCATCCACCATGGATCGAGCTTCTGGATTTGCCATGATCAGATACAACGTGTCAACTATCGGAGTGTAATGTACAACATCTTTCTGAATTTTGACAGTAGTAACAGAATTTATTAATTTAACTCTTTTTTGAAATTTTTTCCTCTTGCTCGTCCTAACAGTGTACAATTATTTAATCTGGTTTCTCCTAATATTGTTTCGATCGGTTCTGGAACCATACAATACCCTCTGGCAATTAAAAAATGTGAGCGCGTTTTTGGTTATATCGGGGATTAACAAAGTATTCATCAAATTTATCGATGGTTCTTGATCAAAAGAGTAGTTTTCGTTATTCAAGAACCGCTTTACATAGAACAATCGAGGAAAACCCAGAAAGAAACTTCTTCATCTTTTTTTCTGGAACAGACACATCACATCGAAGTTCCGTGATCATCTCCATAAACTTTGCCGTAATATCTTCCAGCGACACGTCGTTCTGGTAAAACACTGCGTTTTCAATTGAAGTAAACGGCATCGGATCATCCTCAAGGGTCGGCACTGGTGAGGGCGAAGGAACTACTAGCTCAAAAGAGTTTTCTTCAACATCTTCCGTGTTGACCGGAAGAGGGTTATTTGTAAGAAAATGCTTTTTGAAGCTTAAAAAAAGCCACATAGGGGACATCTCAGCGGGACTGAAGACTTCCGATTTGTTGCGATTTCATGGACCGTGGAAAGGTGTTGCTTAAAAAGCTCCAGATCACCTTTGATCAAGCTGCATCCATCAACGCAACATTTCATCTCTCAAGAATTAAAAGTTGAAAATGTACGTAATATCCACTGATAATTGAAATAATAAAGTTTACCTGTCAACTTTTGGTAGCTTCCTTCGTCGATCTTTTTCTTTAGATGCTCCATTTGTATTGTTTCCACGCAATTGTAACACGGTAACACCTTCAAAACTTTTAAAAGCGATTGCTTCCAGGAGGATGACAGAGCTTAAATGAAAGAAGTATGATTTTCTCATCCAAAATAAAGTGAAATCACAATAACACTTCATTTTGGATACTTTCAAAAAGTGGAAAAGGAAACAACTCAAAATCGAGATTGAAAGCCCTCAAAACTAATAACTCTCAAAAGACTACTGTTCTGAGCACAATAAACGTAAAAGTAACTATTTTTGTTATACTTCAAGATTAAGTTAAAAGTACTTATCAATCAGAATAACAATGTATCCAAAATAGTAGTCTTTCGAGAGTACCTATTTTTAAGTACTTTCCATCTCGATTTTAAGTTGTTTCGTTTCTCCGTGTTGGCTCGATTATCTGCCAATCTAAGACAGCTGATGCAAACATTGAAAAATTATGCTCCGTCCACATAGATGTTTGATTTGTGGCGCGGCAAAATAATCGCGATAAATGTTCAATAAGCGCGTACTGGTAGGAATTAAATATTTACTATATTAATTTTAAAATTAGGCAAACTAATCATGAAAAATTCAAGTTTCATTCATGATTATTCACATAAGATTTGTTAACGCATGCGTGTCATCAATGCACATATAAACAAAGCATAAAAACTGTAGGCTACAGTTCTGACACCACCAATGGTGGTGGCATCAGCAATCCTCCTTCTTGGCAGAAGATTGGAAACCTGGGGTCATTTTAACTCAAAATTCAAATGTCAGCTTTGTTCCGTTGAATTTTTGAAATTTCAAATGTTTTGCAAAGTAAATTAAGTGATCTTTTAAGTTAAAGCTCTATATGACTAACATTGAATTCAATTTTTAGTACTCATGTGATTTGAGGTGTCGCATGATGGGTTCTGATCCAAGTCAGAAACTGGTCGGCTCGCCATAGGTCAACTATATTAGATGTTTTAAAATGCATATTATGACCGTATACTTACTTACTAGATGTATTTTGTATTCTTCCATCATCCTAATCCCAAAATTCGTCGTAACGCTAACTGCTATGTGACCGGGTCCTGTCAATTTTCACGTGCAAATGGTCCGCCGCTTCCTCCACTCGTCCGTCTGTCAAACCTGAACACTCATCGCAAGTTTATGAGTTATGAACACTCTAAACATAAAAGGATAAAATAAGTACTAGTCTGAACCCTACACTAACCAAGATTGTCCTCAATTTTGACGAATTTCACGGGTATAACTTTATAACAACACTGACCTCCGCAAAAACATTTCCGTAGTAGCAAAACCCCCATCAACAGCTGGCTACTGCGCGATCGACATCACTTTTGTCATCTCCTTCACTGCCAAAAAGAGAACCCCGACAACAGCCAAAAAAAATGTGTTAATCCGCTAAACAGACATTATCGCAAGATTGATGATCATTACCTTAAGGCGTTTAGCATCATCATCAGAAGATGGAGAGACACACGCGAAAGCAATAAGCAATCAAGAGATTCCAAAATCTAGGACACGAACCCCGAAATATATGCAATAAAGAACTATAGACGACCCTCGCGCCTCGCAGAGAGTGCTAATTTGGCAGCTTTTGTCGCACCATTACAGCCCATTTCGTGACGATCGTAATTTTCTCTAGCTCTTGCACTTTAATGGAGCCGATTACAAGGGAGGACTGGTTCCAGAACCACCTGAAACAAGTTGCCGCCGCCTGACCGAGCTCCGTCTTATCTTATTTTTCTCTTTCTTTTTTACGACATCCTTAATTAAGATGGCAAACAGAACGCGGGGAGAAAGACCATCTCGGAGGGAACTTGATTTAAGAACTTGTGTTAGGAAAAGGAAAAAAAAAAACTTGTCCCATTACTATAAATTTCGATAAAAGTTGCTTTGACACGTTTTCGCCGTCGGCGTCATCGCGGTTGCTTTGAGAGGCTCGTTACAGCATGCCAAACTGTCACTTGCGGGTGCGTTACCCGAGCGTTACTAGAAAAAACTCGAACCACTTCTTTGCTCATAATAAACTTAGTGGAAGAATGCTTTCTAAATTGAGCATTATGAGTCACGTCTATCGTTTTATTACGCTTTCTTACCGTATCCGTCTCTTGCTTCCACGGCAAGCGACGGACAACTCAATTTGGATCAGATCTCGGTGCGCACGTGAACCGGTTTGTTGGACGTTTTCCTCTGTCACCGTCCTGATAACGGACTGTCACCGTGGAAAACAATTCCCATCATTTGAAAAAAAAAGTTAAATCTCTTTATTTATATCCACACAAACGCTTATTGGTTTTTCTTCACCGATTCATGAATCCATTTGACGTACTTCGGAATATCGACATAGACGAACGGTGTTCCGGGGTCCGAGTCCAGGATCCCGATCGACAGCATCGCTACCTGGTAGATGCGGTTGTGATACTCAACCTCCAGAGCCGATCCCGCACCGCCGATCATTTCGATCGTCCGGTTGTTGAAACTGCTGGCGCAAATCTGACCCTCGTTGAGCATGATTTTGTTGTGGACCAGCTTGCGGCACCTATCCAGCTCGACGTAACGCATCCAGTACTGCTGCGGCCGTGCTTTACTGGTCCAGAGGGCGTTGTACACGTTCGGCTGGTTGACGGTGCCGATTTCGAACTTGATCAACGGCAGGCAGATGGGTTTGACGGCTGGAATGAGTGGAAATGGAAATTGGGATGAATATTGTTGGTTGCATCCAATCAGCAAAATGGTGGAATGTGTTTAAAAATACAGTAGACTTTCTCGACGAAATGTGAAAGATGCTAAAATATTCTGTGGCTTTTAGGCTGTGGTCCATTGAGTGAATTTTCACTTAAATTTTACATATGATTTTTTTTTAATAATCCTGCTATTCTACCATACTTATTGCACATACAAATAAAGAATCAATTTTGACCTGCAGCTTCTCGAAAATCGACCGAACAACAACAGAGGGATTTTCGAACATTTTAATTTATTTTCGAAGTGTCAAATTTAAGAGGAAATTCACCGCATGGAACACAGCCTTATACCAATAATCAATACGAAACTAACGATTTTAAATTGGCTCACTACTTGACTAGCCTATTGGTCCCAAGCAAATCGATTAACGTATCTCATTCTAGTCGAAATTCTAGTACTTCACTATGTTTGTTTTGATTCGCTATGAAAGTTTGACAGATAAAATGAGGGGTTTGTCGATTTTTCTATGTTTCGAGGGGGCATCAATTAGCATGGGACCGAAAAGAGTACCAGAGCTGAGCCAAAAAGTTGAGCTCGTTTCTTCGGGACCTTCTGGTCTAAGAGTTACCTCTATGCTTATACCGAAGAGAGTACCAGAGCTGAGCCAAAAAGTTGAGCACGTTATTTCGGGACCTTCTAGTCTTAGAGTTACCTCTATGCTTATACCATAGAGGCAACTCTAAGACCAGAAGGTCCCGAAAAAACGAGCTCAACTTTTTGGCTCAGCTTTGGTACTATCTTCGGTCCCAAGCTAATCGATGCACCCCTCGAAACATATGAAAATCCACGAACCCCTCATTTTATCTGCCAAACTTTCATAGCGAATCAAAACAAACATAGTATAGTACTATAGAATTTCGACTAGAATGGGATACGTTAATGGATTTGCTTGGGACCAATAGGCTAGTCAAGTAGTGAGCCAATTTAAAATCGTTAGTTTCCATCGGTAACTTTTACCGTTTAAGCTATTACTTGACGAATTCGCGTGAAAACGAATTCACCAGCTGGTTTTGTTATTGGGGTAAGATCTATGCGGATTTACTAGCGCTAGTGTAATATCCAATTAGCACAAAATTCAGTTGCTCGTGCAAATCATGCTGGTAAACGCTGATGCCCTGTTTACATTTTGCTGGTGAGCTTTTTTGCTAGCAGCTGGCTCATTAGCGCTAGTGAAATAGCATAAGTGTAAATACCCCATAAGTAAACATGATCAGCTGGAAGCTTGACACCAAAGGGGTCTAAAGTAAACATCCGAAGAAGAGTCATTGAAACAAAGCGTTTTATCAGTGCCAACATTCCAAAGAGGCGTAATTGCTTTGGTAAACAATGGATTTAGTCGTCGATTTCTCGCAACTAAAAGCTCACCCCTCCAGATTAACAATGCTAGCCCTAGCTGGTAGAGGAAACATTTCTAGATAGAGCTGGAATTAGGACCTAACAGCTTTTGTAAACAAAGACTTTTCTTGATGATTTCTTGAAATTCAAGGCTCGCCCATGCAAACCAACATCCTCATCGAGTAGAGAAATACTCTCCCTGTTCGATGGTTATGTTGGACTGCGTGGGCGTGCCATGAATTCCTAGAAATCATCGATAGAAGTCAATGTTTATAAAAGCTGTTACGCCCTAATTCCAGCTCTATCTAGATTTCATTATTTTTCATGAGTGAGCATTTATTCGCGAGAAATCGATGGCTAAAGCCATTATTTACAAATGCAATTACGCCCCTTTGGAACTGTTGGTACTGATATATCAGGTGTAACATTTGATAACAGCACAAAAGGTTTTGTAAACAAACTTTTTAAGGCCCTTCACACGCGAACCAAGGGAAAATTTCGCAGTACAATATTTATAAACACAGCTGATGACGATGATTTTTTACAGTATGAACCGATGGGATTGAAATGGTTAAGATTAACGGTGCGGCTAGAATTTGCATCCTCACCACATCCATTTCTAGACGCGTGGCGAAGGACGACATTAGTGGCCGAAACGTCAATTTTAGCTTATTCGATCCCACGAGGTCCTCTGGGGCTCCTACACGATAGCGACTGTTCAAAATCACTATTTAGGCTCTGAACCGTTAGTTGGATTTTTTTTTACTTTTGGTTAAAATTTTACAGATTGAAAGTTATAGATTAACCTTGGTATCCGGACATGGTTATTACTGACCGACGAGAAATAAGATTTTGAAAATTGTGGTTGAGTTCTGCTCGAAAATTGGTCGATCAATAACACAGGAATTTTCGAACATAGAAAATGAATTTCGAAATGTCACTTTTAACCATGAGTTAAATTTAACTCGGCAATTGGTTCGCCGCCTTAGGTTATGTTCCATTTGGTGAATTTTCACTTAAATTTGACGCTTTAACAATTTGACACACACAAAAATTATAACGTTCCAAAATCCTTCTGTTGTCAATCGTCCGATTTTCAATAAGGTGTTTGTCAAAATTGATTCCTGGTCTGTCAGAAATAAGTCTGGAACAATTAGACACTGCAGCATAGCGTCACAAATAAACTCAGTGTTCATAGAATTAACTTTTAGACAGTTCAATTGTACGTACTCAGAAACTTGCTAAGCAATTCGAGAGTTCCCATAATTTCAGTTTGGGTCTTACTAGTCCTATTGAGAATCAGGTTGCTCGGAATTATTTAAATATTTTCTCTCGGGAAAATATTTTTGATGATTCCTGGGGTGATGATTTGGACGAAATAAGATCTATAACTAAAAAAATTCAAAATATGATTTTCTGAAAAAATAAACTCCCAGTGTCTTTCTTGGAAAAATTATTTAACAGAAGTTTTCATTTGGCATACTTTCCTGATAAAAGGGAAAAATACAAAAGTTGTTCCAATTTTGAAGTCGGATAAAAATTCCAGCTGAAGCTTCTAGCTACCGTCCAATAAGTTTGCTTTCTTCAATAAGTAAACTTTTTGAAAAGATAATTTTAAATAAAATGATGCTTCACATCAAAACGAACTCAATTTGTGCAGATATGCAGTTTGGACGTCGCCATGGGAATTCAACTACTCGTCAACTCTTAAGAGTTCCCAATTTAAGTCGTTCCACCAAATCTTAAGGCTGCTCAACCGGAGTTGCTCTTCTAGACATAGAAAAAGCATTCGACAGTGTTTGGCATGATGGTTTGATTGCCAAATTAAAAAAAATTTAAATTCTCCACTCTATATTATGAAATTAGTTCAAAATTATTTAACTGACAGAACTCTGCAGGTAAATTATCAAAATTCCAAATCTAATCGACTACCTGTTAGAGCAGGAGTTCCTCAGGGTAGCATCCTTGGGCCTATATTGTATAACATTTTCACTTCGGACCTCCCTGATTTGCCTCAGGGTTGCCACAAATCTTTGTTCGCTGATGACACAGGCATTTCCGCTAAAGGAAGAAGTCTTCGTGTTATTTGCAGCAGACTGCAGAAAAGTTGAGATATTTTCTCTTCTTATTTACAAAAATGGAAGATTTCTTCCAACGCTTCCAAAACTCAAGTTATAATATTTCCACATAAGCCTAGAGCCTCCTTTTTAAAACCTAGTAGTAGTCACATAGTCACTATGAACGGAGTTCCAATTTCCTGATCAAACCATCTATCTTGGATTAGTATTTGACCAAAAATTAACTTTTAAAGATCACATTGAGGGCATTCAAGCCAAATGTCACAAATATATAAAATGCGTGTATCCTCTTATAAACTGGAAATCCAAACTTTGCATGACGAATAAACTTCTAATATTTAAACAAATGTTTAGATCGGCCATGCTTTATGCTTTGCCAATATGGTCTAGTTGATGTACTACCAGGAAAAAATCATTTCAAAGGATTCAGGACAAAGTTCTTAAGATGATTTTGAAGTTGCATCCCTGTTACAGTAATACCATAGAGGTAACTCTAAGACCACTGGGTCCCGAAGAAAATCATTATTATTTTTGGCTCACTCAGTACCAGAACAACGGTCCCAGGCAGTCCCAAGCTATTTCACTCACCCCTGCATGTTCTGCATGAATCCACACACCCCTGATGTTATCTGTCAAACTTTCATAGCGAATCAAAACAAACATAGTGTAGTAATAGAATTTCAACTAGAATAGGGTACGTTAATCGTTTGCTTGGGACCAATAGGCTACTAAAGTGGTGAGCCAATTTAAAATCGTTAGTTTCGTATTGATTGTTGGTAATACCAACCGGTGGAAACTAACGATTTAAACTTGGCTCACTACTTGACTAGCCTATTGGTCCCAAGCGAATCGATTAACGTACCCCATTCTAGTCGAAATTCTAGTACTACACTATGTTTGTTTTGATTCGCTATGAAAGTTTGACAGATTAAATGAGGGGTTCGTGGATTTTCCTATGTTTCGAGGGGTGTATCGATTAGCTTGAGACCGAAGAGAGTACCGGAGCTGAGCCAAAAAGTTGAGCATGTTTCTTCGGGACCTACTACAGTACTTTCCCGTTTTTGTCAGCCCTATCTGAAATTTTAGGCTGACAAAAACATGAAACTGACAACACCGGGAAATTTTATTTTTTTTCAATATTTTAACCATCAAAATGATTTTGAAATCAAGTTTAACCATTATTTATCCACTATTAATGGAATTACTAATAAATGTTTACTATTCTTACAAAAAAGGGTACACCTAACGTCTCGAAGAGTTTGCGTACGGTTTGTTGAGCCGGTACGTACTGTTCGGTTTCCTTAAATTCCGCTTGGTTTTCAGCGCTGCAACCAAGGCTGAACCTCCATATCTCAATATCAACGTAAATATACTAGCCAGGAGCCGTCTTTTACTACTGCTTGGTCCCGAGATGTTCGGTATGAATCTGGCTACCATTTTGATGGCCTTCGCTGCCTTCTCGTAGGCATATCCTACGTGGCTATTGAAGCCAAACGGTCGTTGACCATCACTCC